AATATGATTATTACCAGTTTCCCACTGGAAGGTTTTTTTAAACAATAGTATTCAATTTTAGCTATATTGTATTGTATTCAAATTATAATTTTTCCATAATTAAAAGAAGCCTTTCATATTGCCTGGAGAAAAATGGTCCTGACACAAAAAAGATTGTATGGGAAGAGGTACCTGGAGTTATTATTTTTTTGTTAGTTATCAGATAGTTTCTGTGTGGAGACTAAAAAAACAAAAGAATTGTTTAATATTGATTTAGGTCATCATCTGACTTGTATCCATACTATTTATTCCTTTTTTAATTTCAATTTACAAACATACAAACATAAAATATAAACTATAATCATTAATATTCAAAATCATATACATATTTTGCTTTATTTAGAACTTGCTTAAATTTTACTTTTAATGTTTCACTTCTATTTAAATACCTTTATTGTATCTTTTCCATCTGTCTTTATAGCCAATAGCATTTTTATTATAAATATGTATTACCTAACTCTTTCCTTCTATCATTCTCTGTTTTAATTTAATTTTGTTCTTGATTTTCAGCTACATAATTGAAAAAGACTTTCCATTTTTCTTGAAATTCTGAATTCAGTCTGTTATGTATAAAACATGTTAATTTTGCCATTGTTGCATATCCATTTAGTTTATTCTTCCATTCGTACAGGTCTGGGCATTTCACTGCCTTCCATCTTGCTGCAAATATTACTCTTGCCACTATCATTATATATTTAAATAATTCACTGTGTATTTTTGTAATGTTGATTGGTAAAATATTTAATAGCATATTTGTTGGATCCTTTGCAAACTTAAGTTTTAATATCTTTTGCATTTCTTCTTTTATTCAATATTTTTTGCTTTCTTGCATGTCCACCACATGTGATAAAATGTTGTGTCTGTATTCTGTATTCTGTATTCTGGCATTTCCATACTATTTATTCCAATGTGTAGTGACTTATATAATAGTTTTCTATAACTAACCAATGCTTGTGAGATTTTTTCCCCTCTCTAATCCTGGATGAGAAGGCTAACTTGGCATGTATTACTGAGACTTGTCTAGGGTGGGGAGAGGCATTAACCTCTCCCAGTCATGCCCTCCGAGGTATTCAGCAGTACATCAGCATAGGCCTGGCAGGTGAGGAAACAATGTTACTGTAGTCTATATGGATTCTATCCCCTTGGTACGGTGCCCCATCCAGGTTTTGGCTCTGTCTACCTAATGTTGGGATTGAGAGACAGGATTGAGAGTCTGTTAGTGTATCACCCACCCTGCTGCCTAACAGTCTCCCTACTTGAGCTGACAGAGGTGGTCTCAGAGGTGGTGTTGAGGACCCCTAGGCTGGTTGTCCTAGGGGACTTCAACATTCATGCCAAGACTGTCTTGTTTGGACTGGCTAAGGATTTTATGGCCTCCATCACAACCATAGGCCTGTCTCAGGTAATAACTCTCCCTACACATTATGCAGGTCACACTCTTGGTCTCGTATTTTGTTGTGGGCAGGAGGAATGTGATCTGGGGTGAAGGAACTGATGACAGTTCCTTTGTCATGTAGAGATCACTACTTGTTTGAGTTTAGATTTACAGGGTTACAAGACTCTGCGGGATGAGGGATCTATTAAGATAATCTGCACCCAGAACCAGATGGATACAACTGACTTTCTGATGGCTTTAGGTGATTTTCCTGTTGATATGGTTGGTGTTCCTGTCAATGCCCTGGTTGACCTATGGAATGAGAAAATTATATGAAGAAGAAGAAGTTGGGTTTATACCCCGGCCTTCACTTGGAGTCTTAGAGTGGCTTACAGTTTCCTTCCCTTTTTCTCCCCACAACAGACACCCTGTGAGCTGGGTGGGACGGAGAGAACTCTGAGAGAACTGTGACTGATCCAAGGTCACCCAGTCTGCATGTGGAGGAGTGAGGAATCAAACCCAGTTCTCCAGATTAGAGTCTGCTGCTCTTAACCACTACACCAAACCACTAAACCAAACATGGACAGTTGACATGATTGTTCCCAGGCACCCCTTTTCAAGTGTTATAGCCCAGGTAGACCCTTGGTTTACTGAAGGATTGTGGGTGATGAAAAGACAAGGGAAACAGCTAGAGAAACAGTGGAGGAAGACTCGAGTCAAATCCAATAAGATTTTAAAGCTTACTCCATGGCAGTGATGGTGCCAAATAAACAACACTTTTCTGTTACTATTGCTTCTGCACAGTGTAGGCAGAGCTGTTCTGGATTGTCAGAGGCCTGATTGGGATCTGACTGGCAGGATGAGGTAGAGTACTCACTGGCCCACTGTGACCATTTTGCTCACAAAACCTCTCACATCCATTTTGACTTGAAGTCTATATTAGCAATGACAGGGTGAGATGGTGCTAGGGTGTATCCAATTGCTTGGGATGCTTTTCAGTTAATTTAGTATGAGGATGTAGACAGGATCCTTGGAAGTTTGAGACCTACCACCTGCTTGTATGACCCTTGCCCTTCCTGGTTACTTAAATCTTGGTGGTGGTGGGGGGCTGGCTGACTGTGCTTGAGAGGTAGTTAATGCTTCCGTAAGAAGAGGGTAGTTGCCCCAGCCTTGAAGCATACTGTGGTGTGTCCACTTCTAAAAGAACCTACCCTTGATCCAGGAGATCTCAGTAATGATCAACTAGTCTCAAATGTTCCATTCCTAAGCAAGGTGACTGAACAGATGGTGACTGGATAACTTTGAGCTTTCCTGGATGAGTCAAATTGTTTAGATCCCTTCCAGTCTGGGTTTAGGCATAGTTATGTGAATGAAACAGCTGTTGTCGCCCTGATGGATGACTTGCACTGGAAGATGGACAGAGGGAATGCAACTCTGTTGATTCTCCTGGACCTCTCAGAGGCTTTGGATACCATTGATTGTGGTACCCTTCTGGGCCATCTATCTGGGTTGGGATTGGGAGGCACCATTCTGCAGTGGTTCTGGTCCTACCTAAAGGGTAGGTTTCGGAAGGTGGTTCTAGGGGACTGCTGATCAGCCCCTTGGCCTTTGGCTTGTGAGGTTCCACAAGGATCCATCTGGTTCTCTATGCTCTTTAGCATCTATATGGAACTCCTGGGTGAGGTAATCCAGAGAGATGTGAATTACACCCAGCTCTGTCTCGTGGAAGTAGTGACAGACTTCATGTTCCTGGGATCCCAGATCACCGCAGACTGTGACAGCAGCCATCAAATTAAAAGACGCCTGCTCCTTGGGAGGAAAGCAATGGCAAACCTAAACAGCATGATAAAAAGTAGAGACCATCACCCTGCCAACAAAAGTCCACATGGTCAAAGCAATGGTATTCCCAGTAGTCATGTATGGCTGCGAGAGTTGGACTATAAGGAAGGCCGAGCGCCGAAGAATAGATTCTTTTGAACTATGATGCTGGAGCAGACTCTTGAGAGTCCCTTGGACTGCAAGAAGAACAAATCAGTCAATCCTAAAAGAAACCACCCCTGACTGTTCCCTGGAAGGCCAGATAATGAAACTGAAGCTCAAATACTTTGGCCACCAAATGAGAAGGGAGCACTCACTGGAGACGACCCTGATGCTGGGAAAGATTGAAGGTCAAAGAAGATGGGAATGGCAAAGGATGAGATGGTTAGATAGTGTCATAGATGCAACAAACATGAAATTGAGCAAACTTCAGAGGACGGCGGAAGACAGGAAGGCCTGGCGTGATCTGGTCCATGGGGTCGCGAAGAGTCAGACTCGACTGTGCGACTGAACAACTGTCTCATGCTTTCAGCTGAAACCAGGGAGGCTGTAGAAACCCTGAACTGGTGCCTGGATGCAGTTTTGGAGTGCATGTGGGCTGATAAACTGAAACTTAATCCCAACAAGATGAAAATACTACTGGTGGATGGAAGGTCTGACCCAAGATTTAAGGTGTCACCTTAAATCCTGGATGGGTTGCACTCCCCTTGAAGGAACAGCTTGATAATCTTGGGATGCTGTTAGACCCAGGCCTACTGTTGGATAAGCAGGTGGCACTTTTGTCTGGGAGTTTCTTTTACCAGCTTCCACTGGTTAGCCAGCTGTAGCCTTTTCTGGGAAGAAAAGATCTGGCTACTGTGGTGTATGCCCCAGTTACATCTTGATTAAGATGGCTTCTAGAAGTGTTTGAAAGCTTCAGTTGGTACAAAATGCTGCATCCAGGATGTATACTTGAATGGGTAATAGGAACCATATCACTCCAGTCTTGGCCCATCTACACTGGCTCTCAATTTGTTTCTGGGCACAATTCAAGGTACCGGTGTTGGCATTCAAAGTCCTAAATGGTTTGGGTTAAAACACTTGGAAGAAAAGCCAGAGTATTACTGTCCTCAACTATACTGTTGATAGAGAAAAGGATATACCTTCAATTTCATTGATAATATTTCCATCTGAAGAAGTAGAACAGAGTTGTATTTATGTAATATAATAGCTTCTGCAGCCTTATTAATTTCAAATGAAGCTGCCCTAAGAACACTTTTAAATCATTTTGCTGCTTTAGAGTTTCTTGGTTTCCCCCTCCTGATCTATCCTTTCTTAGTGTTGTCAAAGTAGTAGGTGGGGTGTGCAAAATTCTATGTTGAGGAGGGAGTTCAAGAATCAGGTATCTACCATCGAGCAGTAACATAACCCTCTTGCCCCCACTGCAGCTGTCTTTGCACATAATTATATTATTTGTTGGTACAATGGTTTATTAGGTTGGTCTGTTAATCATTCAGCCAACCTATCTCATTCTTTTACAATGCCAACCTGGAAATTAAGACTGGGTACTGTCTGCATCCACATGAACTAATTTTGAATAGCTTCTGTACTGAAGTATCTCTTTAGTGCAGAAGTGCTAAGACATACTTCAATATAAGTGTTATTAGGTCAAAAGGTATATATCATTTCTGCTTTTGTGCTCATTAATGAGTGTCATTAATATGTAAGGGCTGTTTATTCACATTATGCAGATAAGTAGTGCTAAGTAATTCCTTCCAATGTTATTTAGGGACACTGCTGGCCAAGAACGATTCCGTACAATGACTACTAGTTATTTCCGTGGAGCACATGGATTTGTTCTTGTCTATGATATCACAAATACAGAAAGTTTTCAAGGGATTGCAAATTGGATGAAAGCTATATATGAGGTAAGTGTATACTATTCTCTTTTGTACTAAATATAGGCCTCCCATTTACCCACCGAGGGCAGGGAATATTCTTCCCCCAGCCCCAATTTCCTGCCCCAAAGGTATTGAGGAGATCCAAATACAAAATATTTCAACATTACTTTCATAAAATCCCAGTTGACCCAATCAAATGCCTTTTCAGCATATACAAAACAGAATGCCACAGAAATCTGTTCTTGTTTTGCCAAATGTATCAGATTGATCAGTCTTTAATATTAGATGTCATTTTTTACCCCATTAGAAAGCCTGTTTGGTCTTTCCATATAGTTATTTAGCACCTCCTCTAATAAATTAACTAGTAGTGAAAGTAGTACTTTATAATCAGCATTGAGTAGTAAAATTGGTTTATAGGTGGAGAACTGGGAAGTTCTCTATGGTTACCATAGAGTTTTGCCAAAAATACCAGAGTGTCACCATGTGACATCCCTGGCATGATGATGTCACTTCCATCATCACATTGGGGACGTCACACCAGAGCCTGGCTGTTGGGGGCGGAGCCCACGAAATTGGGGGATCCCCTGCTTTCATCTGGGGGCTGGCAACTCTAAAGGGCCATGAATATAGCACTGAGACTATTCACAGTAAATGTATGCTTCATTAGTTTAACATCAGAAATGGCTGCTGTATCCATGTTCCATGAAGATTGTTAGCACCTACACTGACTAAAGAATCTCAAGTCCATGGTCAGCCTTGGGAGGGGGTTGGATTGACAAACATCTTGATGAATTCAGTTTCTGAACTAAAAGCAATCACTAAAAAAAAAAACCCAGGTAAAAAGCAATGCCCTCCTGTACAAAAATACATACTGTTGAGGGGCCTGTTCTTGGGCTTTACTGCAGCAATACTCATATGGTTTGGAACAGTCTCCCAGAGAGGGTGAAAAAAGGCTCACTGTTCAGACAAGGCTGTAGGATAGAGGTTGTGTGGGGTGGGGCCATGGCTCAGTGATAGAACATCTGGTTTGCATGTGGAATGTTCAGTCCCCAGCATTCTCAGTTAAAAGGTCCAGGTACATGATGATGTGGGAGACCTCTACTGTTGCCAGTAAGAGTAGACAATACTGATCTTGATAGACCAGTGGTTTGACTTCATGTAAGGCATTTAAATGTGTACTGTGACCAAGCTTTTTAAGTAAGCATTTGCTGGTCTTTAAGACTGATCAGATCTTGGTGTTGCTGTTTTTAAGGGTGAAGGATACATTAATTCTGTTCACTGGTTTGTTACTGGATTTTAGATGTTTTCCATCTGGAGCCCCAATATATTGGAAAAAGTTGAGCATACAAATATTTAAATAAAAAACCCTTCAAAGGCTTTCAAGAACAAAATGGTTTTAACCAGTGCTGGAAGCTCTGTGTGACTGGCCTTTTCTGCCAACTGAGGCAACTCACACAGTCTCCTATGATTCTGGAGAACCAGGTTTGTTTTAAACTGTAAAGGTTCCCCTCAGTTAGCAGATGTTTTTAAGGTAGCAGGTGTAAAGGCTTTGGGTTTGCTGCCATAAGGTAAGTTGTGTGATGAGCAAGTCAAACATGGAGATCACTGAGGCAGGATATGTATATAAATAACACAGAAGATGTATTTATTTACAGGTTGGTTTTAAAGAACAGATCAGCAGCACAGGACTCCAGATTGTCAAAGGAGAAAGCTGGCACATAATTTGAAGCTAGCTATGGCTCCAGAGTGTGATCTCAATTTTCTTTAATGCTTTCAGGTGCAAACACAGCTTTATTGACTAACCACTCATTTGGATCCTCTCTCACATACGGGACTCCACCCTTTCCCAAAAGTCCTAAAATTGGGTACCGTATTTTCACCCAGAGCTAGCATTAAACCACTGTGTCCATTGACAGGCAGAGCTACCCTTCAAACTGCTGGCTCTTTTACTGAGAATGACCCCAAAATTATCATTGTGCTCTCCAAGGGTTAGATCTGAACTCTCCCTGAGGCAGACCGGAACGCTCTCCAGCTGTGCTTCCCTCCAGCCCTTCATCCCCCTTCTGAAAGGTGTTTGGATGCTGCAGCAGCATTCCCATAGGCTCAGCTGTCTTCCCTTCAGCAGCAGGGCTCCACAATAACTGTGCAGTTTGCATTTAAAGAAGTATCATAAAGGCTTTGCATGGGCCCTTGTGAGCTATGCTGCAGAAATTGTGCATGCCCTCAAAAGGTCCTCCCCCCAGATGATCTCAAGTCTCAAGCAAGCTGATACAGATGGAGATGGTCCTTCAGGTAGTTTGGATACAAAGTCTTTCATGCCTTTATAGGTTAAAACCAGCTCTTTTAAATAGACCTAGAAGCAAACCAGAATCCAGTATCCTTGATGAACATCTGGTTGTAGATATTCATTGCGTCACACACCTACAATTATCCTGGCCACTGCATTTTGCACTAGCTGAGGTTTCCAAAAGATGTTCAATGGCAGCTCCACACACAGCATGTTTTGGTAACCTCATCTGGATGTTACCAAATGTATGTGTGTGGGTGTGTGATAGTCTGGGGGTGTTCCTGGATGCCTCCCTTTCTATGGAGGCCCAGGTCACCACCACTGCCAGGTCTGTCTTTTTCCATCTAAGGCAGATCAGACAGTTGGCCCCATATCTCACCTCCCAGGACCTGGCTACAGTGACCCATGCAAAGGTCACTTCCAGACTGGATTATTGTAACTCTCTCTACGTGGAGCTGCCCTTGACTCTGCTCTGGAAGTTGCAGCTAGTGCAGAACGTGGCAGCATGGATGTTGACGCTGACACCTGTGCAGGCTCACATCCACCCAGTGCTGCATGAACTGCAGTGGCTGCTTGTTGAATACTGGATCCGTTTCAAGGTGCTAGTGCTAGCCTTTAAAGCCCTATATGGCCAGGGGCCAGCATACCTTCGGGACCGCCTCTCCTCATATGATCCCTGTAGAGTACTAAGGTCTACATATCAACACCTTTTGGTAATCCCCAGACCCAGGGCCGTCAAACTTGCCTTGACTAGGGCCAGGGCCTTTTTGTCCCTGGCCCCTACCTGGTGAAATGAGCTCCTGAATGAGATCAGGGCCCTGCAGGACTTATTAGAATTCCACAGGGCCTGCAAGATGGAGCTCTTCCACCACGCTTTCAGTTGAGGCAGTGGATATCCCCCCTTCTGGCTGGCCTCCCATCAATGTCCTAGATTCAAACATCCACCTGGGAACCTACACTACTGTTCCATCTTAATTGCAGAGACATTTGATCAGATCTTGCACGGTATTTTATGACTTTTGTACTGTTTTAATTTTGTTGTTTTAAATATTGGTTTTAATTGCTACTGTGAATTGTATTAATATTGATGGAACCCGCCTGAGCCTGCTTGCGGGGAGGGTGGGATACAAGCCTAGTAAAATAAGAATAAATAAATAAATAGCTAGTTTGGCCTTCTATCACAAAATAAACATTCCAGTTATTTTGTTAATTCTGCAGTAGGAACACATTTTACTTCTCAGGGTAGTTTGGAAAGTAATTTAAAAGGTTAGACTAAATTTAAATATTAACTAAGGGCATTTTCAAGACTCAGATTATTACTAACGGAATAGGACTTCAAAATGGAATCTTTTATAGATTTCTCTTTGCAGAAGACAAAATTGAATTTGAGTGTAGTTTTTTCTCCCCTAAGTGTAGATATTTTAACTACCCAATCAGAGTGTTTCAGGATTTATTTTCACACAACGTGGCTCTTGAAGTCTAAAATTATCAATAAGATGAAATCATCTTGTTGTGGACAATGATCTTATGTACAAATGCATTCTTACAAAGGAGCTTACACTTTAAGTACCTGGCATAATTTAGTTGGGATTTTTGACCAGTGATCTTGGCAGAAAGAGCAGAGTTACATTATGCTTTGATGTGGGTTTTTTTTTGCTGAATCCCCATACATAGCCAATTGATTTAACATACTCAACATTCATGTTATTGAAGTACTCCTCCTTGTGGCTGAAGATTGCAAAGAATTTTGAACAAGAGCAGGCTGTTAATCTTAAGAGCAGTAAAATTAGTCTGTATTTCTCTCTTAATGAAAGAACTTCTGTTCCCTAGTTTGAGAGATGAATGCAGGAGAAGGTTTCAAATAACATGACTCCATGTGAGAATCCGAACACCGTTTTATTTCAGTTGAAGCAATGAAAATGTGTTTCTAAAAATGTACTGAATCAGTTTTCTGAAATGAACCAATCATTTATCAGTGTCTTCCACTTATATTTGAAAGAACAGTTCTTAAGCAAATAACTTACATAGTTTTCCCAATATAGGGATATTTTAAAACACCTTTTTCGCACATGTCAAATTTTTCATACAGGTAATTTTAAAAATTTTTCATACAGGTTATTTTTTAAAAATCTCTTTAAAGTGAGATGTTATATACAAACATGTAAAGATAATGTCTGTCTTCAAATTAAGATATCTATTTACTATATTTTAGAGATTTATTATAATTTTATGTAGAGCAATTAAACAATGAATAAAACTGCAGTGTCTTCCAACAACCGGCATTTTGGTTTATTAATCCAGATTAGATTGATCTTTTGTTCTAGACCTGTGCTTTGCACTCTTGCCATGAGTTTACATCATTTTGAAGATTGTATTATTCTGAATATCAGCTGCAGTTCTGAAATGGAATTAGTTGTTTTATTAAAAAGATGAATTTGTGGTATTAATTTTACCTGGTGCTGTCATGCTAAAATGAAGTAACTTGCTTGTGGTTAGGGATACATGCCCATAATAATGACTTTACTGTTCTTTCATGAATAAATGTTTTATTTGTTCAGAGGTGTTCAGAAGCTTCATTCTGTGGCAAAATTCATAAGCATGAAACAGTGCAATCCTACACAGAGCTACACCTTTCCATTGACTTCAATGGACTTAGAATTTATTTATTTATTTATTTAAATTATATCTGTATACCCACCTTTCTCCCAAGCATTTCAGGACCCAAGGTGGGTAAATATAAAAACTTTAATAAAACATTTTGATAAAACAAAAAACATTAAAACAACAGATATAAAAATGTTGTTTGGTGCTCCAGTCTGGGGATTTGGAAGTCTATACCCATTAGAAGTTTCACAAAATAAATTTGCACATATGATGTTGGGAGTTCCTAATCCCACATAATCAGTTAGGGTATTATCAGAGTTTATTTATTTATTTGTTTGACTTTTATCCTGCCATCCCACCTAAGCGGCTCAGGGCAGCTTACAATATCAATAAAACCAGTATACATAAAACACAAACACTTCATATAAAACAGTTTAATTATAAATACAATAAATATCAGTAAAAACGGCTCAGTATATATTATAGCTAAAAGTCTACCACAGTGTAATCACTACCATTTACATGCCTTAGCGGATCGGCAAGGCTCAGCTGGCATGACATCAATCTCACTGATATGCCTGGTGGAAAAGCTCCGTCTTCACGGCCCTGCAAAATGGTGGCTGTGCCACCAATATTGATAATAGTTCATCAATTTGTTATTTATTTCTGGTTGATCTTTTTCTTCCAAGATTACTTTTAGTAATATTGGCATATGAAGAGATGGAAGATATAGCCTGGTATGATGGATTGTATAGAAAATCAGGATTTAAAATGCTGCTTTTTCAGAGAGACTGGGAGATCAGGAGTTAATCTGCCCTGTGATTGGCTTGTGTGATTGGCTGCTCTTCACACTCTCTCATTGGCCAGCATCAGGGGAGAGCAAATTTTAATATCAGCTGTTCTGGAGGGAAAAGGGTCTTTCATCTTTGGGTCTGGGGTGAGCAAGCCAAAAAGACTGTAGCCAAAAAGACTGCTTCTGACAAAGGAAGGGGTAACTGGAGTCAGTGTTCTGACAGGATTAGTCAGAAGGAAGAAAAGATACTCCTTTGCCCTTACAGTATTAAAACTACTTTGAGGGAGAATTGTATTTCTCAGTCCAGAAAGCTAAAAAATACTGCTTTACACAGACAACAGTTACTGAAAGAGATATTTGGCTAGAGTGAATGGGGTGTTAAGCAGTAACTCCCAGTCAAGCCAAACAACAAAAGATTATTGCTTTGTTTAAAAAGGAAGAATAATCACTACCAGTAAACATGTAAGCTCTTGGAGGATTGGCTACATTAGGGGTGTGTCGCCTAATATGCAAAGGAGTTCCTGCTACAAAAAGAGCCCTGTATGTATGTGTGTGTGTGTACACACACACACACACACACACACACACACATATATTTCCCTGCCAGTTAAATTAAAAATTTATTCTGTTTTGAAAGTTACTCTGCCCCAAGTGCCATTTAAAAAGGGTTTAAAAACATGACAGCTCCTGCATTTCCCTCAGGTTCCTCTGTTGGGTCATAAGCCTAAACAAATATATGTATCACGGTGGGACAGTTTGGTTGTTTAAGTCAAAGAGAAGGAATACATGCTACTTGGACATGACTGAGGGGAACTAAAAGGTTTTGGTGGGAAAATCTGCCTGTGAGTTGGCAATGGACGTAAGTTTACAAGCAGATCATGGATTACTCCATATCATGAGTTCAGACACTTTATATAAAGAACTTAAATCTTTTCCTATAGCTCACCCAATTTATCTTGATGACCTAATGGTTATAGAATATAGAAAGGCATTTACTAGGACTCAAATGGATATCTTATGAGGGCTGTTACAATAAGATCCCATTTGATGATTGAGTGTGCTCCTGTGACTATAAATACACTGAAGATCTGGCTCATGCTATATTTCAATGTCCAGGATTTGTAACTGTTCTGGAGAAGTACATTAGAAATATTTAACATTTGCCAGGGAGGTCAGAGCAAAATAAATTAGTTGCGTTACTGGCCGATAAAAATAGGTGGATCACAATGCAAATGGCATCAGTCACCAATATACAGTTAAGATTATTGAAGTATATATTTATAAATAAATTTGTTTAATAAGTCCGTTTTGATAGGATGTATTACGTTGCTGGGAGCTGCGGTGGCTCAAGTGGTTAAGACGCTGAACTGCAGGCTGTGGAAGGTCAGTAGTTCAGCGGTTCAAGACCCGGGTGCTGCAAGACAGGGTGAGCTCCTGTCTCTAGTTCCAGCTCCTGCCAACCTAGCAGTTCGAAAGCAAGAAATTGCAAGTAGATAAATAGGGACCACTTCGGTGGGAAGGTAACAGCGTTCCGTGCACCTTGGTGTTTAGTCATGCCGGCCACATGACCACGGAAACGTCTTCGGACAGCGCTGGCTCTTCGGCTTTGAAACGGAGATGAGCACCGCAACCCTAGAGTCGGATTCAACTGGCTTTCGAGCAAGGGAACCTTTACCTTTTTATTACGATGTTACATAAATTCTTATGGATTTAGACTTATTAATAGGGATATGTCAATCTGCATTATTGTTTTATTGATTATTTTATATAACAGTTTGTATTGATATTGCAATTTGATATTATTATTATTTGTATTTTCTTTCTTTTTTGTGTTTGTTGATTGTTAAGGCTGAGCTAAAGCAATAAAGTACAGTACAGTAAACATTAACATGTAATCTAAAAATATTTTGTGCCTGTACAAACAACATATTCCCCCTTTACCCAGGCAGCCCCAAAATGCTCTTTGGAAAAACTGTGACCGATTTCCCACAAGCTGCTGCTCCGCCCTCACTCTTCCCTTTCCCCTGATTTTAAGCGTCAATTTCCCACTACTTGCTGTGCAGTCACATTTTGACCTGCAGCTTCGCCTGATTTCCCTCGCATCTTAAGGTGTAAAGGTTAACCAGAATTTGTTTCTCCCTCCACGAAACTGGGAATCTAAGCCTGGTTTGGAAGCCCTGTTCACAAGGGGTGGGTGCTATTCAGTAAGCAGTGTGGCTGCATTCGTCATCATATCTCACAGGCAAACAGAGTAGTTTTAAGCCCAGATACCTTCACTGCAGACCACACAAGAAAGCAGGAAGGAGGAGTTGAAAGGCATGTGTAAACACGGCAAAAAACTGAATTTATGTACCACCAAGTGTCAGTTTGACATGACAACCACAGTTTTGTATTTCAATTTGATGATACTTAACAATGTGTTGTTTGTTTTACAGAAAGTAGATGAAAATGTAGAGGTGATACTATTGGGTAACAAGTGTGATAAAGAGGCAGAACGTGCAGTTCCAAAACACAGAGGGGAAAAGGTAGGCATCAATCATGAATACATACTCTCATCTCTTAAGAAATTTTGGGTGTAACTATGTATAACTATGTAAAGGACTGTGATATGATGAAGAACTGCAGTTATTTGGTCATTAATTGCCTCAGAAGAATGGTATGTTTCAATATTTATTTTAAAATTTGTACTCTGTCCTTTCTCCCTTCTAGGACAAAAGATGTTAATATCTTTAAAATATTGTTTTTGCACTGGGGTGATTTCAAAATGTGCTGCAAAGTGACTTTGACACTTGATTTCTGTCAGTTGCATTTTCAAAAGTGTGCTATAAAAACTAATGTTATTTTGAAAAAAAGGGAAAAATAGAAAAAAGAACAAAAACAAATTACAACACGTAACTTGGAACTTTGCTAAGGCCTACTGGAGCAGTATCCTTTTATAAGAACAACTAAAAAGCCTGTCTTATGTTAGCACAGGTTGCCGACTGGCCCGGAGAAAAAATATTCTGTCTTTTAAACAGATGTTTGTCTAGGGTTGCCAGACCCCCTGGTGGGGGCAGGGGTACCCCACTGCCAGGCCCCACTTCCCCGCCGCCAGTCAGCTGGCCATTGGGGGAACTTACCTCCAAAAAGAGGGAGATCCATCCAACAGGCATCAGTGTGTCTACATCACTGCCCACATGACCTGGAAGTGACATCATCACATCCAGGACATCAGGGCGACACTCTGGTATTTGGACAAAAACTCTATGGTAGAAGCCAAATCTACCATAGAGGTTTTGCACAAATTCCAGTGTTGCCCCAACATTCTGGACTTGATGACATCACTTCCAGGTCACGTGGGCAGTGATGTAGACACATCATTGTATGTTGGATGGTCCTCTCTGCTGCTTCCAGTAAGTCCCCCCCCATCCCCTACTGGTTGCCAGGACGGACCTGGCAACCGTATGTTTAACATAAGAACATAAGAGAAGCCAATGTTGGATCAGCCCAATGGCCCATCCAGTCCAACATTTTGTCACACAGTGGCCAAAAATACCAGGTGCCATCAGGTGGTCCACCAGGTGATGTGATTTACCTCCATGCGATTTAAAGATTCCACTGCCCATTTCCACTCATTAAGCCTCTATTAAAGGGACAGGACATTTTTCTTCAGGCCAGTCAGCAACCATATGTTAGAGTCCATAGAGCTTGTGTAAAGTACGTTGTAGGAATCAAGTGATTGGTAGAAACCTGGCTGGACTGGCATGATTATTTGAATTTTATACGTAATGCAAATTGTGTGTTCATCACATCTTTAGTTTGTATAAATATTACCTTTCTGCAAAACCATTTGTTCAGCTTACTGAAAAGATGACGTTCTCCTGTCTTCAAGGGGAGAATCATGTATTACATTCATTAAATATGAGCCCTAACGTTTTTTGCTCACAAAGACACCTGTGATAAAAATGCACAGCCAGATACGTAATGTAAAACCTGAATGACACAGAGTCCCATTTATTGATATAGTTATTATGAAGAAAGGGACCTTCATGGACTTATGGGGAAGGAGAAATCCCATTTTGAACTGCTGGGAAGAAGCAGGTATGTGGAGCAAGCAAGGTGGCTGTAGCTTCCCCTTTGTGCCTGCTCCTGGTGGCCACAGCCAACACATTTGCAAAGTTTCTTGGCCTGCTATGGCAATCCAATATGCTGCAGAATCTTTTTGTGTGTGTGGTGTTCTATACTATAAGGGGGGAATTCATTATCATTAAAAAATTCTTTTTCTGCAAATCCTGGGTTTCCCCCAGGTTTGCAGAAAACTATATCTAGCTCTGGGTGGTTTATTGTAGAGAGATTCTGATCCACATGGTGGAGCCCCATGTAGCTATCAAATATATAAACCAATATGAATTGAGAAATTACTGACAATAATATTTTTGAAATTTTCAGATTTAAAAAAAATGTTTTTATTTATTTTCAGTTTTTCTCAACATTCAGATCTGATATTCTGGCATTTGCTTATCTGGTTTAGGATTCATAAAGTTAGCAGGAGGGAGGAAGAGGAAAAATGACTTAACATATACATAACTGATGGGGACATTTCATAGAAAAAGAGGTGCAGGAGCTCATTAGCATAACTCATTCACATAACTTATATGCATATGCCACACACCCTGACATCACCGGAAGTGTGTCAGAAGGCAACACCCACTGCTCAGGCTCCACCCCAAAAATCTCCAGGTATTTCCCAACTCAGAGAGAGAGAGAGAGAGAGAAATGAGATGGGGAGGAAGGAAGGAAGGAAGGAAGGAAGGAAGGAAGGAAGGAAGGAAGGGGAAAGAAAGCAAATAGATAGGGAGAGAGGAGTCGGAGGGAAGGAAGGAAGGGGAAAGAAAGCAAATAGATAGGGAGAGAGGAGTGGGAGGGAGGGACGGAGGGAGGGAAGGGAGAGCTGGAAAGAAGGCAAAAAGATGGGAAAAGAAAGGAAGGAAGGAAGAACCAGAGCCCCTAGTCTCCCTTTCTATCCTTTTACAACAACCCAGGCAGGTAGGCACGCCTGCCTCCTGAGCCTCCTGAGCCAAAGAATCATCTCCCTTTCCATCCCTTTAAAAGGCAAATCCCCTTTAAACAATCCCCATACAGCTGTGACCTCCACAGCAGCCAAAACACATATATGACAGATATACACACAAACAAATGTTCTTATTCTCTATGGAACATCCAACCTTGGGAGGCAAGGCAAGGGATAGGAAGTGAGATGAAAGCTATAGACATGGCACTGATAGAAAGGGAGGAATATACACAGTGTAAATCCCACTGAGTTCATTGGGACTCACTCCCTTACCGCTTGCACACCAGATCAAGCCCCCACCACCCCCTGCACCAGCCAGGCCACCCAT